TGAAAAGACTGGCTAGCTGTCTTTGATCATAGGTGCCTGCGTTCTATCTCCCGTGTGAAGTGGCATAATAAGGTGAGCAACATTGAAGTTAGGCATAGGTCGAGTTCTAGGTAAACAGGGGAAATCAATCGACGAAATCGTGAAGTTACAAAGACTGAGATGGTTAGGACATGTGTTGCGTAGGCATGCCAAGCCATCGCCTCCCTCAACGAGCAATGTTAGCGGATATAGGGTTAGGCTGGAAAAAAGCTAGCGGCGGTCAAACAAAAACTTGGCATCAGTCAATGAAATCCACAACAGTTGGTCTAAGCCAGTCACGTAGGAAGGTGTAGACTTCCTGACTGACTTGTTGGGGTTCTCGGGACGGTAAAAACCATTGGTGACATGGCTAGCTCAAAATCGTTCTCAATGGCTAACGCAGATGCATCCACTCCTTGTGACTTATGATCTCCAATGAAACTGTTTTGTTCTTCGTTACTACTATTCCTTTGTCTCACACCTCTGTTTACTGTCTCTATTATGCATTTCTTGTATTTTCTTCTGTTGGTTTGTGTGCTACAAGGAGTGGAGTGTGGCGACTTGAACTGGCGCACATATGTGTCGAAAACAGACAGACAGACAGTCTTTCTTCACTTTGGTAGGTAGGTACCGCACAACACTTCCTAATTTCTCTCTTTTATTTCATCACATAATCTTGCGGTTTCTTAAAACTGTAGTTTTCTTTCTTTTCTATCACTACTGAACTCACTATATTATATAACACAGTTTATCAGTTGCTTGTTTCCGACTTCTCTCCATCCTGTGTCCTTATTAAGCATGGACTCTTTTTTTTCAATGTCTCCGAGCAATTTTCAGAATTTAATTTTAACCTTTTGTGCAGAAGTGGAGTATGAGTGAGGGTTGGCCACCCCTCCGCACACCTCTTGAAATGCTCCCATATGACCGTGCGTCTTACATAGCCTCTCCTGAGGAAGTCCTACTCACTCCCTTCACGTGGCGGAGGTGTTTTTTTTCACCGAAGTGAGAGGGCAAAAGCGGATGCCCGGCGCTCTTCACCGGGTTGACTGTCCATTGGATGACAGTCTAGGGGAGATGGCTAAACCCTGATTCCAAACCTCCAACGACTGGCGTATGAAGCTCACCAGCAGACGTATGGACAAAGAGCTTGTTGGATGCCCTGGATGACTGGCCCCATTCAAAAAGGCGTATGAACCGGACTCCGGTGACCGGCTTCCAATGGATAGTGGACTCCCTACTCCACTCCTACTGCCTTTTAGGTCACACTTGGTTGTGTAAAGGCTAGAGCTGCACTCCCAAACAAAAGGCCGAGCGATTCTGGGGACATCACTCATACCTAATTCCCATGAAACTTCATGAACTCTTGTTCATGAAGCCGGCTCATCCTCCCGTAGGAGATAGCTGAAGTAAAGTAAGTAAGTTATGAACACCTTCGATCATTATTATTATTATTATTAGAGTCTCCTGTTAGCTAACATTTTATATCACTTAATAAAAACCTTTTTTAAAGATTGTTTGTAGGGCTGATGAAAAACTGACGAGATGAAATATTCCGCTCAAACTCAAACCATTGTTTCTAACTCATAAGGATTGTCAAACAAAAATCAATATTAGGCGGGGTTATTGTTTACGTCATTAAAATGTTTTAAAAAATGTGATGAATAATTAAATTGTAACTTTGGAGGGGATGGGGTGAAGATTGACTGCTAAGTATTGACAAGCGTTGGTCGTTTAAACCGAGTTTTGTCCAAGAGACTGCAAGAACACTGTCCCTCTGCATGGTTACGAAGAAGAGGTGGAAGTGGAGCCAATAAGACGCGTGATCATTGAACATCTGGTCGATAATGATCACCACCACATCTCTATAGCCTCCGCGCCTTTTAAGTCATCTACAAGGCAAAAAGTAATTTACCCAAATCACTACGTACCCGACTCATCTGTATTGCTGAAGCCATCTTTAGATATCGAAACAGAAAAGCCAGAGCTCTGTGTACAGAAAAAGTTCGTTCAACTCCTACAACTTTCATGGTCTTAATCCCTCTATGCTAAAATATGGTAATCCCCAATCATATTTTAGCTCTACCAATTTTTCATTTAGTCTATTCAATTTGTATACTCTTCCTTTATTACGTCAATTGTTACTACTATTACTATTCTCACTCTGAACTGTACCCCGTATTATTCCACTTGTCATTCTAAATCAATTCTTTTTTGCGACTTTAAATTCTATGCTGTTAAATTTCACACAATATTACGTAACGTTTTTTTGTTTTATTCGATTTGTCTATTAATCCTGTAATTGCACACCCTTTTCAAGTTCTATACATCCTATGAATTATTTTATATATGACAAATTTGCTTTGCCACTCGATATTTAACTATGAGTATAATCACAAACATTTTAGTTTTAATTGAACTTCATATGATTATTACTATTATTATTTTATGCATTCATACCTAAGATTCAATTCCCTCACCGGATATAACTTCTTAAAAACCATATGTGTATATACGATCGTACAGCTTGATGATAAATTCGTTGTTGAAAAGAGTCTCTTCGCTGAATCACCACTTGTTTCGATTCCCCATATGTTACTACAATGGGAAATTTCTATAAATTAATATGAAAGATACCCAGAAAAATAGGAAGTTAGTGAGAGAAAGAGCATGGAGACAAGTGTCGCAAAAATAAATTATGTAATAGGTAGAAAGAGTAAGTAAATAAAGGGTTGGTTAAGAAAAAAGATGTTACTAAGGATGCCATACAACAAACATTCAAAAACAGAATTATTAACAAAGTAGTAGAAATTTGGAATTATGCTCAAGGTAGAAGGAGAGGGTGGAGAAGTTTCTTCTGCGTATATAAATCAGGGTTTTCAATCCGGATTACTAAGGCCTCCCTGGCAATACAAAGTATACGGAAGATTATCGTTTTCAACGGGAGACTTCTTTTGACTCTGTAGATTACTTTGAATGAATTGTCATTACACATATTGCGTAGTGACCAGGGTTGAGTATATGTTCAATTGATCTGCTGTTACGTTTTCGTAGCCAAGTGGGATTTATTATTTATTTATTTATTTAAAAGCATAAAAAACTTGGTACAATATGGCACCGAGAAGGATGCGCCATACTATAATAATAAAACAACATAGATCAAAAGAAAAAAGAAAGAAGAGAAAAATATTTATATATAAGTAGAGAACAGATAAAGAATTTCATCTGGAAGGAAAACAGTCATGCTTAACAAGTTCAAACAGTGCTCGTTAACTATCATCGGGAAGGGGAGAAAGAAGGAAATTGCAACACGTTCGCCATTGATGACTGCGATTCTTGGCCATATCCGATAACGTTTCGGGCCATCGATTCGAGCTATTTCTCGAATCCCAAACAGGGAGTCGTAACACAGCAACCGATGCTAATCTAGCACAAAAATCCTTCATCCCACTACGCCACGTCATGGACTGACCACCTCTCCGCCTTTTCTATCCCGTCCCAGGGCTGGATAGCGAACAGAGACCTGTACGGAAGCCTCTGGGATGACATTCACAGCACATGTCCAAGCAACCGGAGCCGGTGCTTCTAGATGACGACACTCAATGAATGGTGATCTCCAGTGTGTTCAAACACACGCCGCCCAACCTCAGAACTACTCACGCGATGATGCCATCCATCGAACGCAAGCAATCCTGTGGAGACAGCGATGATTGAACACGCAGAGTCGCCGCCGCACGTCCTCAGCATATTCGGAGAGGCCAGGTTTCACAGGTGTAAAGCAGGGCAGTTCACAACGAAGCATTGTATACCCGACCTTTGACAGTCAGGCTAACCTCATGACGGCGTCATAGCTGGCTCAAGTTGATGTATGCCACCCTAGCCTTCATTATACACGGTTGGAAATCTCATCCGTCACCCCTCCGCCAACACTCACACAACAACCCAGGGTACACAAATTTATCAGCCAGGTGGGATAAGTTTCTTTGACTCTTTTAGATGAGACATGCATCAAACAATCCGTATATCTCGCTTCTTCATGAGGAATTCAATTGGTAGATACGTATAGAAGTAGTCAAATGCGATAGTTGATCTTTGGAGTTGTTGAAGAATAGTGGAGATAGCATGAGAATATACCAATCGTAATGTAGCACAGCAGAGAGTGATCTTTTCAGGGCGTTAAATGTTATATCCTCCTTCTTAGAATGTCGGCCAGAAGGTCACCTTTGAACACCACATTCATGTATACCATCTTCTTCGGCACAGAGATAGGTTGTTCATTCCACACACCCCTAGTTACAATCTGATTATCCATCAAATTTTTTGAAACACTTTGATGACGTAAACAATAATTAATTTTTATTTTTGTTTGACAATGCTAATGTAGACACGTAGACACACACACACACACACACAATAATTATATGTAAATGCGATTGTACAACTAAGTGAGTGAATTCGCCGAAAAGAGTATTTGCTTTACTCAAATTGTTTTATATGGTCATCCATAATAAGACTATGAGTAGATTGTTATGGGGTAAGGAGGTGAAATTAATCGATGAGGTTTTGAAACTGTATTCAATAGAGATGTCTAGGACACATGCTAGCTACGCATGTCTAGCCAACAGCTTCCCTGATGAACAATATTAATCGCTGAGAAGACGCGATGTTGCAAAAGAGTAAGAGGTAATCAACATAAGACACAGCACAAGTCCATGAAGTTTCTTGACTATCTGGTTAGGGGACGGCGTTGCTAGCCTCATGCCCAACCTTTCCTCTATACCAGCATTTTTTCTGGCTTAGTGAGGTAAAGGAGTGCGTCGGCAAGGGATCCAACTATGGACTATGTGCATGGTCGGTGAGAGTGCTAACCACTGTGCCACCGACGCACAATTGAAGTGTATGACAGAGTTGTTAAGAAAAAATAATTACAATATTACATTGTTTTCTCAGAATATAAAAAATACAAAATTTAATTGAACACTTACTTGACGAAAAGATTTACCACAAACTGTACAGTGAAATCTAGGCTGACTTGAATGTGTATACCGATGACGTTGTAAATTACCTCGATCGGAAAAAGCTCTTCCACAATCAGCACAGGGAAATGGACGTTCACCGGTATGACGTCGAGTATGAGCAATAAGACGACATCGCATACCAAATTCTCGACCACATACACCACATCTAAAAATTTAATATTAGTAGACGCAAATTAATTCAATTCAGAAAACTGATTTCATTTGTAATTCAATGGGTAATGATGACAATTGAAGTGGAAATCAAAAAATCAAAATCACTCAGTAGAATTTGAACCATGAACCAATTGCATTGCTAGTTAATTCTCAAGCTCTATCGACTGAGGTACGAGTCATACATCGATTAAGACCCGACCGAAAGCTGCTACCTTGATGTGGTGGTCAGGCTTGAACACCGCAATGACCTAATCAAGCTATACTGGCTGAGACTTATGTCTCTTGAGGTTCTACCATGCCAGGTAGGTTGTTTGGATAGCGGTTAAACAAAAAGCAGCTACCCCATTCAATACCATGATTCAAACAAATTCACAAAATTTCATGCCGGATCGGCCGTGGCCCGGATTAACAATGACCGCGCTTCCTGCTGCTGTGTCACAGGGCAGGAGTGATAAGTATGCTACTGAAACACACCAAATAAAAAAGAACAGACAGAAACAGGTCGCGTGTGACCGGCCTCAAGCAGTTGTCCCCTGGGCTCTGCGGTCACGCAACCAACTTCCACAGTGTGGGCAGCCGGGAAGTAACAAACGCCCTCACAATCCGAAATGCACAGACAGACAGACCGATTATGACTTGATATTATACTAATCATTTAGAATCTCGTTCAAATTATCATGTGCAATTTTGAGCAGTGGGCTATCATACAATCAGCTGATTAGCCCTAATGCCAACAAACTGAAATCCACCAATCAGACAATGTGTAAGTTGCCTAAACTAGATTAGCAAATGTGACGCCCACGCAACGCTCTCTGATTGGTAGACTTTAGTTTACTAGCATTAGCGAGTCAATCAGCTGACTAATATGCCACTATCCATTGAACGCAATCGTGTTCATTGAATAACCAGAAGTGTATTTTCCATTCCCATTCTAATTGTTCTTAATTAGAGACAGAAAATATTATCTTTGATATGACATTTTTTGATTAAGACAGGGGTACACAACATTTCATCACGCTTTGCATGAATACTGCTTGGTTTTCTCTGTAAAATTTATTAAATTCAGTTTCATACCACTATATACTACTGAATGCCCGTTATAAGTAGTTGGATAACACTCACACGCAACTAGTAGTGCTTGCTAGCCAGTCATAGCCTCGAAGTGATATCTAAACATCACCGGAAAGCCGTTTTGCTCCTATGGGGTCGGGCTCACTAGAGGCGGTGTACGCGGTTCAACTTAGCTCACAAGGAGCCGGATAGCCTGAAATCACCCAAATTCTGGCTAATTCGTTGTTTTAAATGTAAAAAATATTTCCCAGAACACATTATTATTATTATATCCTTTAATTCCTAGAGGAACATAGGGCTTCAGCTGCGCGTCTCCATTGCCTTCGGTTTTCTGCCAACTTTTTCACTCCGCTCCAAGTCTGCCCACATGCTTCCATCTCCTCCTCACATGACCTCCTCCAAGTCACCCTACCCTCGCACTGACGACCAACTCACCGCTTCCCTTTCGGCCCGGTTCCACTCGAGCGATGGCTTGTCTAGTGATGTCACTTGATGGTTTGTTTCCTCAGAGTATGGCCTGCCAATCCATCTCCGTTTTTTCCTGCCTATTTGTTTCACAATCGGTTCCTGCTGCGTTGGTTCGCTCCCAGAGGTCCCTATTGCTGAGTCTTTCTGGCCGGCCATCTGATCTTGAGTATTATTGAGCGAAGACAGCTGTTGTTAATGAAGGTTTGAAGTTTGTTTGAGATGCTCTTTATGACGCGCTGGCCAAGTCTCTGATCCGTATATTGAGCGGCACTGACTTGGAGTTGAAAACCCGGATCTTATTTTTGATGCTGAGTGGGCTGTTGACCTCCACACAGACTTGGGAGTAATGAAAGCTTGTCTTGCTTTCCTGATCCTCGCTGCTTAGATATCCTCGTCAGTCGAGTGCGCTTGTAGTTGAAACGATGCTTCCCATGTCGGTAGGTAAAGGAGGTTGTTTCTTTCAGGTGCCTCCCATTTATGCTGACTGTCGTCTGTTGTTGTTGCTGTTGACCAAGAATCTTCATCATCTGTTTTATCTATGTTCACCTGAATGAAGTCTTATCTTCTCTAGATGCTTCTTCTTTGGCCAGCCTGTCGCTTTTCATTTGCATATCTTCCAGTTTGTGGGAAATCAGACATATACATCACATCGGCGAAGTCCAGATCCTCCGAGTTGTTTTTTGTATGAGTCGATTTTATGCCTGTTTCCTCATTGCCCGCCGTTGTCTGCCGCAATATCCAGTCTCCTGCAATCACGAAGATCATTGGCGATAGTAGATAGCCTTGCCTCACTCCCGTCCTCACTTCAAAGGATTCCGTAAGTTTCCCGTTGTGGATTACTTGGCATGCAGCATTGTCGTACAACTAACTGTTGGATGAGATGTATAATTGTCGATGGCACCCCTTGGTAGTAGCGAAGTAGTTGCCAAATCACATCTCGATCGACGCTGCGCTGTCGAAGGCCTTTTCAAAGTCGATGAAGTTGAGATAGAGAGGTGACTTCCATTCCAAGCTTTGCTCAATGATGATCCGTAGTGTGGCGATTTGATCAATATATTACCTTCTTCTCCTGAATCCAGCTCGTTCCGGTCGGAGTTTTTCATCCAGTTTGGTGTGTTTGATTCTCTCCAGGATGATGCAGCCTAGTATTTTGCTTGGGATGGACAGGAACACATACACGGAGAATATGACTGTATTTTGAGGTAGGATTAATAATAATTATAATAATAAGACCAACTGATTAGAAGACGACAATTAAAAGCGTTTTTATTCAATGTGCAACTTTTATGTCGCATTTTACTGATGGCTTGACAAAAAAACAACAACCAGCCTACATCCATCCATCCATCATTTATGAATAATAACTGAAGCGCATTTTAAAAGTAACAGTTGAAGTAGATTAGAGCTATTTTGGTTAATAATGATGCATTATTTTGTATGATATAGAAATGAATAAAATAAACGAATGACAACCTGAGTTATGACTGACTGACTGACTGGTTTCAACGCAGAACTACAACTTTGCACAGATGTGTGCACCAGTTCAACTTGCCCCTCTCTTCCTCCATCTACCCCACACAAAGCAAAAGAAGAATGGAAGGTCCACAAGACAGATGATTAACAGAAGTGTGAGTCAGGGAAAAAGAATAGTAGTAGTAATATGGAAGAACAAGAGAATCTTATTGGATACGATATACCACAAAATGTGAATACATCTACGACAGCCATTGACAACGACGATTTTCAGCCATATCAACGCCTTCAACTTTCATGGTCTTAATCCCTCGATGGTAAAATATGGTAATCCCCAATCATATTTCAGCTCTACAAATTTTTCATTTCGTCTATTCAATTTATATATTCTTCCTTTATTACGTCAATTGTTACTATTATTACTATTCTCACTTTGAACTGTCCCCTCTATTATTTCACTTGTCATTCTAAATCAATTCCTTTTTACAACGATAAATTCTATGCTATTAAATTTCACACAGTATTACGTAACGTTTTTGTTTTATTCGATTTGTCTATTAATCCTGTAATTGCACATCCTTTTTCAAGTTCTATCCCTCCTATGAATTATTCTATATATGACATTAATCTGCTTTGCCACTTGACATTTAACTACGATTATAATCACAAACATTTTAGTTTTAATTGAACTTCATATGATTATTACTATTATTATTATTATTTTATGCATTCATACCTAAGATTCAATTCCCTCACCGGATATAACTTCTTGAAAACCATATGTGTATATACGATTGTACAGCTTGATGATAAATTCGTTGTAAAAGAGTCTCTTCGCTAAATCACCTGTTTTGATTTTCTATATGTTACAATGGGAATTTTCCATGGGATATCACTAATTGTCTCCACCTGCCATGGGTTCTTACCATCTCGAGGACCCTATACAGGAAGCCATTCCACACCTCCCTACGTGACTGGCTGGCTTAAACTGACTGTTGTAGACTTTTTATTGACTGATGAAGTCATGTTCTGGTTTGATCACCACCACTAGCTAACTCGTTTCCAACCTGACTCATTCAATATCAGCTAAGATTGCCCATCGAGGAAGGCGATTGATCGCTAGGCATGCGCATGCGTAACACACGTCTTAACCATCTTAATCCGATGTAACCTGAGTAATGCTGTTTATAATTATACAGAGCGCTTTAATAGTAAGCACATGAATGATGTAAGTTCCAGGTAAAAAAAACAAAGATTACAAATAGATTCCTATCAAACTTGATAGTAGACTTGTTTGTCAGCCATTCACTTACCCCCTTCCAACCACAACGAAATCATGCACATACACACATGATTTGCATATCAAGCTTATCACACTAATATCTTTAACCGGACCAAAATAGATGGAAGAATCTTGAAGCACACGAGACCCAGTAAATAAAGCTATCAACCAAGGGATAGATTTCTACGATCTCTTTCTCACATTAGGTGGTTTAATAAGGTAAGTAATGTTGACGTGTTAGGCGAAGAGTGTTGGGCAAACAAGGAAAACCAATCGACGAGGCTATAAAGTTACACAGATTGAGATGGCTAGGTCACGTTCTGCGCATACCTGAGATGGTTAGGACATGTGTTACGTATGCCAAGCCATCGCCTCCCTCGACGAGCTATGTTAGGGATATAGGTCAGGCTGGAAAAAAGCTAGCGGCGGTCAAACAAAAACTTGGCATCAGTCAATGAAATCCACAACAGTTGGTCTAAGCCACGTAGAAAGGTGTGGACTTCCAGGCTGGGGTCCTCGGGACGGTGAAAAATCTATGGTTGGAAACAATTGGTGACATGGCTCAAAACCGTTCTCAGTGGCGCAGATGCATCCACTCCCTGTGACTTATGATCTTCAATGAAACTGTTTTGTATTTCTTTATTACTCCTTTGTCTCACACCTCTGCTCACTGTTTCTATTATGCTTTTCTTGTACTTTCTTCTCTTGCTTCGCGTGCTACACGGAATGTGGCGACTTGAACTTCCGCACATTTGTGCAAAGTTCTATGTCGAAAACAGACAGGCATACCTAACCATCGACCCCCTCCCCCGACAGACATTAGCTGATATAGGTGGTGCAGGTTGGAAAAGAGTAAGTGGTAGTCAAACAAAAACGCATGGCCTCATCAATCCATGAAATGAATCCTTGACAGTTAAACTGAGTCGGTCAGGTAGGGAGATGCAGACTTCCGGGTTGGGGCCCTCGAGACTGACTCTAGGAATCAATGGCTGGAAACGATAGGTGACATGGCTCAAAATCGTTGTCAATGGCCAGCTCAGATGTATTCAGTCTCTGTAATCTTTCATATTCCTCCTTTCTACCATTACCCATTCTGTTTCGCTCTTATGCCTGTCAAACTATTAATTCTCTTCACTTCTTGTCTACTTCTTTGTGTGGTATTTGGAACGTGGCAACTCGAACTGGTGCACTTCGGTGGCAAGTTCTGTGTTGAATCCAGACAGACAAACACCTTGTTAAAGGGTAATAAATTGTGAAGAGTAGGCTAAGAGCCACAGTTATTCTCTATAAAGGCGGATGACACTATTCAGCTGGCAAGGATTGAAGCACCCACGTGGAGCAGCTACGGGTAGGCAAGTGTTAAAGCTATTGAGGATCACCCCTCCAAGCTAATTTGTGTAATTAAAACTTTCCAATTTGTCAGAGTACTTCATCGATTGTTGCATTTAAATTTCTTCTGAATCAGACTATTTTCTAAAAGAAAAAGAGACACAAACCTATGTCAGGTGAAGAACAATTGATAAGCAGTACTGTGGGTAGCCGGGTGTGTGTGTGTTTTGTTCCTGTTTGAGATTCTTTGCCAGCAACCACCCCCACCAAGGATCGAACGCAAGACTTCTAGGCTATCTATTACGATCTAACAGATGTCAGAATCAATGGGCTGAAATGATTTACGAGGTCATCTTGTAACCTGAAGGCCCTGGGGTTCAATCCCCCCCCAATCGGTTGGGGGTCATGAAGTCTGTACTACTGAGGAGACGGAAACAACGAGCATCTCCCTTGATAAAATTTTGCATACTCCCTCCATTATATATGGTAACATAAAATATACACATGCAAAAGTATGAACACAAAAACAAAAGAAAAAAACTTACACAAAATGTCCTGTCCCATTATTATCACGTTTAACTGTTGTTGAACTAGTATCCAGACTACTATTATTCCCTTGTGATGGTGTACCACCTAATTGATTCGACTGGGACATTAATTCTTGATCACCACCTTGTTTCTGTGGTGTATGCGCCGGAGTAGCTTGTAGTTTTTCTTCGCTTTTTTGTAAATTTTCATTAGTATTATTATTATGAGATGTTGAATGCACCGGTTGATGATTTTGTTGTTGTTGTGAGGAGAGCATATTTAACTGGGAAGCAGAGGAAACAGAACCACTAGGCAGGAGAACAGTCGTAGCAGCAGCTGATTGTTGTTGTTGATGTTGTTGTTGTAAATGAATACCTGCATGACCTGCAAGTGATTGGACATGCTGCATATGTACAGAAGCATGTGGATGGTGTTGCTGTTGGTGTTGTTGTTGTTGTAATTGATGTTGTAATTGAAGTTGTTGCTGTTGTTGTTGCTGCTGCTGCTGCTGTTGATTTGTCTGTTGTGTATGATGTGGATAAAAATGCGCAGTTGTAAATAAAGGAGCTAACGAGGCTGAGGCTACTGAATTACCACTCACTGAAACTGTATTCTGACCTGATCCTGCTGCTGCTGCCGCCGCCGCCGCTCCTATACCGACGATACCAGCACTAGAAGCAAACAAATGATTAGCATTACTCATTTGATGATTAGAAGCGGCAGCAGCAGCAGCAGCATTATTCAGCGTCATCATCCCCCCAGGTGTAGCAGAGACAATCCCACCAGTTAATAATTGTCCTGCAGCAGCAGCTGCATTACACGAAGCTTGATTAATAATTGTCGCTTGTTGTTGTGAACCAGGCGTTGAGGACATATGATGAGTATCAGTTGTCTGTGCAGCGCTAAATAATCCATTAGCTGCTGCTGCAGCTGTCGGATACGGGAAATACATTAATTGTCCAATATACTGAGATTGATCATACGGGAGTACTGTGGGCAGGGCAGCAGCTGCTGCTGTCTGTTGTAATGTTTGAAAGAATTCAGCATTTGGGAAGACACTTGGATGTGTAGGATGACCAGTAACAACATTCTGGGCCACAGATTGAGCTGGATGGATTGGTGAGGATAAATGAGGCTGAGATAATCGATGCAGTTGGGCGGAGTGTTGATTTTGATTGTGTTGTTGTAACTGTTGTTGTTGCTGTTGGAGTAAGTGTTGTTGTTGTTGTTGCTGTTGTTGTTGTTGCAGTTGAATTTGTTGATCAAATGTTGCATTAGTTAGTTGTAAATTATTTTGGGAATGTTGTTTCTGTGCTTGTGAAGCAGCCTGTGGAAATGCAGCTGTTGCTTTCATTGTGACTACACTAGCTGCTCCACCACTCGACATAATTGTTCGTGCTCTTCTCCTTCTTTCTTACCTTCTTTTTCGTGGAAAAAATTATTTCAATTTAATCTCTAAAAGGCAAAAAACAAATAGGATTCAATTCACCGATACAAAAAAGAAAATAAAAAGGTTTTAAACTGTCTAACAAGCTAAATGAAAAGAGATAATATTATAATACTAACTAGGTTGGAGTACAAAATAGTAAAATAGTAGCTAAGTAAGATAGAAAAGTCAATCGATCAGGCCAATACGAGTTGAAGACATGAAAAGGTTGACTGCTTCCGATCATAGATGTCTACGATCTCTTTCTCACATTAGGTGGTTTAATAAGGTAAGTAATGTTGACGTGTTAGGCGAAGAGTGTTGGGCAAACAAGGAAAACCAATCGACGAGGCTATAAAGTCACACAGATTGAGATGGCTAGGTCACGTTCTACGCATGCCTAACCATCGCCTCCACCCCCACCCCTCCCCCCCAACGGGCATTAACTAGCTGATATAATTGAGCCACATTCCCAATGAAAGCACTCGCCTATCTCGTTTTTTGACAATCCCACAAACAAGATTTCAACATTAGGTGTATTTGTTTCATTCAAGTGACACGGCAAGCAAAACTAAGAGGAAATGTAGTTTTAGATAAGTAAAAAGGTAGGCCAATCGATACCACTGACTGAAGCTATCAAAATGCTAGGAATCAGTGGTTAGAGAATCTTTACGACATAAAGCAAAGTCGTTGACACAAGTGTGCACGTATTGCTCCTAACAAGTTTACAAAAAAATCCTGCAGGCATGATCCCTTGGTTTCAGAACTCGACTTTCATTCAGTAGGTGTCAGGTTTGAATTCCACCCACCCCCTACTTCTGTCTGTACAACTAAGCTATTTACTAAACCTGACAAGTATGGCTCATGGAAAACCTGTTCCAGCAACAAGATACAAAACATCATGATCTAGACCGATTACATAACAAATCGAGGTGTTTTACACGTGTGACAATCAACTCTTAGTATGAATGAATATAGGGCTTTACATTACTGCAGTACTACAGTGATGCACTCAGAAAGTTTTAAAGAAATGACATTGAGAATAAACAGAAGTGGAATTACACCATGCTAACTTCTTGGAAGAAAAACACCCGGTAGAGATTAATTACAAATGATGGGTCTTCTTCACATACCTGGAAGATGAATTAACGTAGAGCAAAGCATAGAAATGCATCAGTTCAAGTTGCCGCGTCAAAAATATAATCATACCACGTACGACAGAGCAACATGACTATGAGGGAGGAAATCAGTGAGAAATGCCGGAGATCTCGAAAATGTCAATGAACTAGTTCTCAATCACTGTGACACATTAAAAAATTTCCAGATAAACCACATCGTTTTACATGCTCCCCACACTAAAGGTCATAGTCTTTACAGATTGATGTCATATTCAGTATTTTCAGCCAGTGGCTGTGTGTGTAGCAAGTGTCTCAGCTACTTCAGTTGGTGGAGGTTCGAATCCTCTTCGATTAACTCAGTGAGTCGGTGGCACAACGGTAGAATGCTCGCCAACCACTCCTCATGCGGTTTAGGGCTCGACCCCCGGCCACCAATGCACTCCTTTACCTCGCCAAACCAGTAATAAGACTGGTAAGGTGGGAAAGTTGGGCATGAGGCTAGCAACCCCATCCAGTAAAAATGGAAACAACACTGCTACCGAAACTTCAAGCCTCTAGCTTGAAGCCCTGTGTTTCACCTACCACTAACTCTGGCAATGTTTACTTTTCATGTGAAACCAAGTAAAGCGAGCATTTGAACATGCTTATAGCTAAAACATGTAAATTGTTATCTTCATTGTAAACAGTCATGCTTTACAACAATTAAGTAGAACAGAGTGAACTGCTGCGTAATACACACACACGTCTTTTGATGGGTTATTGAATATTTTTCCGAAGTTTAATATGACGTCAGGTGAAAAGCTCTAAAGATGACATTGGAATCTGTACCACGACTTTTTAAAATAGTCAGTCCTTAAGGACTGAGACAGCTTCTCCATACGTTGCATTACTTTACTGCATATCTTTTTAAATTAGAAGGCGGTGTAGGTGAGTTCTGCAGAACTGTAACTAATTTCCATTTAATTAGAATTTGTAAAAAAAAGTGTATTATTTAGACAAACTACTAGGTGAATAATACGCGTTGTAATCGTTTTTGAGTTTAATCACTGTCACATGGAAAAGTCAATTTGATAACTGCAATAAACTCAGCTTATTAAGTCAGTATTCAAAATTCTTATGGGTCACATTTTGGAAGACGACATTTGCAAAACAGTAGAAATCTTAATACCTATAACCTACATTTTCACAGTCACAACCCCCTAAAAAAAACTATATGCACATCTCACTTATTCTAGAACACTGATTCGGATACTTATGAAGACTTGTTGTTGTCCTGTGAGAGATGATTTATTGGCTTGAACACTCGATTCAGGGCTTGAATCTCGTTCCACCTACTTTTCAATCTAAGGACAACTGGATAGTATCATCAGCCACTCCCCTTGCAATAAGTGTGGGTCACGGCCGGAGACATGAAAATCCTATCCCGAGAACTGAGTTCGAACAGTTATCCTTCCTCACTAATTGATGTAAAATCAAATACACCTAACAGTACAGTTAAAAGTCTAACCAAGACTAGATCCAGATCCTTCACAGGGTACATACAAAAGCTAAAAACACTTACTACACGTTATGAAGATGGAGATGTCGACATCGACTTAGAAGATTGTTCTATTGGAAAGTCTAGGTTTTTGTGGGATTCATGCAACTTATTTTGATGCATAGACTCACTCAGGTAGATAATTAGTACAATCTTAGACCTAAAACTATACGCTACCTACGGAAAATTCGAAAACGTCTAGCGATTAAAACGTGGAAGTGAAATATAAGCAACAACTGGATTTACCAACAACATGATTGTGTCCCACAGAGCAAGCCAGCCACTAGCACACAAAAAACATGGTGACAGTGAAACCATACAAAACATACGTCACGTACATCAGTAACTTTTAACGACATCTGTAATATTGGATAGAACAATTAGACAAGCACTCTACTTCAAAGAATGGTATCTCATGGTCCGTGAACATTGACTCATCTAATGAAGTGGATGTACAAGAAAAACTCCAAGTACTGGTTACCCGTGTCTGAAAGCACGATATTTACCACGCAATATTGAAGCATGTAATACATGTACTCGTCTGAACCATCAGAAGTGCCTGAAACGTTAGTGAAGTAAGTACTAAATGACGTGTGAGCGTGGTAATGTACCATGCTACGACGTGGGCAGTTATGTTACACACCTGATTTGTTGTTTAGTCAGCACTTTAGATAGTCATCTACACAGGATTTTTTGTATTCAGTATCGACATCTAGTAGGTGATTTTGAGGTTATGTGATTCACTGACAATCGCAGATCCGAATTCCGCCAAATTACTTCAGTATCATCAGTCTGGTGTGGTGCGCCAAAAGTTCACTTTAAATAACTAGGTCCTAACTTCTTACTAATTTTGAGGTGCAGTTTGGACAAGGTGAGGATAGTCTTAATAAGTGACATTTTGAGGCACCTATTCTGGTGGCCTGGATACTCTTATTAAAGCCATCTTAGCTGCCTCCATACCGTTCGCTGTTTGCTCCGGGGAGTAGTTGCAGAAGCAGGAGACAGTGACTTCAAGGAATAATTCCTTATTAAATGTCTTCTTAGACGTCTATGACACCACAAGATAACTAAGCTGATGGGTGCAGTTAAAGAATGGTGATCCAAGCGAGTGACTTTGGAGAGCCAGAGAAAACCAAGCTAATTTGAGTTAAAAAGTCTATTCAAGAAAAGTACTTAAAGTTTAAGAATAATAAACAGAACCCTAATACTTAAAACATTGCAAGAATAACTCCCAGATACTCACGAGGTAACGATATACACTTGGCATCATACTGAAGATGTAATTAAGAATTATTTGTTAGGCTTCCGCTTAAGGCACTTATCTCGATATTTTCTACATCCTGTACAGCCTCCATCATTACTAATGAACTCCACTTCTCCTACCTACGAAAACCTATTAACTACTTCAAGCTCATGTGTGGGCTCGTTAGCTTGAGTCACTACTCTTTAACCCTGATTGCATGAACATCCTGTAAAGGTTATACAGGAATTCAGAATAATTCCAGTCGTCGCATGTCAAAACGAGGCATTGTCGAAGCCATCAAGAATCAGATCCAGAAGAATGAAATATAAATAAATGTCAAGAAAAATTAACTAAGGACCATGAATAGAAATGAGTAAGGTTAGTTTGACAGAAGAAACCTCAATGAAAGTTAAGTACTAATAACTGTGATATTAAATTAATTAACGTGGGCTACTGTGTCGGGTTTTGGGCTATATAACCAACCGAAAGTTGGTAGTCACTCTTGATGATGACAAAGGTGAAAATCTTGAGGTTTACAGTTGTCCGATGATTATATTAGCCCCAGAGATATTCATAAAATCATGTCATCATTGAAATCTACTTCAATCTAGGACTTCTCCATACTGGAAGCTGATCTACTTGCTAGTACAAGACTAGCCACTCTTGAAGGTGTCATCAACTCTGTTAGTCAATAACCTGTGACAGCAGTCATGCTTGATTTATTTGTATCATAAAATCAGTAATAACTATTGACGAAATCGAAATAGCAACTACAATGAGTCTAAAAAGAGGTGGGAAGGCAATAAAGGTAAAGGCGAGGTTTAATTCATTTTAATGATATAGACCATGAAAAATGTGACTTCCCAGAGGAGTTATTTAGTACTAGCTCTTAAAAAGCATTGAAGGTCTTTAGAAATAAACCCCATAACTCTGTGTGACTAAAGTCGTTTTTTGAACCTATATAAGTATATTGTCCTAGTGACCAAAGAAAGTGACACATCGGAACTCTTCCTGGCTTTCGTTAACCCCACTAGTTACATCATTGTCAATGCACATTCAAAAG